AACACCTGAAAGCAAATTAATCATTCAAATATATGCCATCAGTTTAGAAATTCCTATTCTTCCAGATGAACATTCTAAAACAATTACACAGGCTCTAAAACTAGCTGGATATGGGGAGAATCCAATTAAAGAGCCCTACTAAAACCAGCTTGGAAAAAACCCCCACTTGCCTCATTCTCGTTTAAGCCAACATGTATAAAGCATCTATCCTATCCTTAGGACTGGGCTGCGAACACTAGAAAATACAAGGAAACACAATGGACTCCGCTTGACCTTGAGAAACAACACCGCCTGGGGGAAAAACACAGAGAGGAGGAGAGACACTAGAATTCTGGCTTTGCCATTGAGTGGCCACATGCCGGGGAGTCCTAGCTTTTTCCGGTGGTAAAATAGGCTTAACATTTTACCAGGTGTCTTAAAGCAATCTGAAAATAAACTATGATAAAAGAGAAAATACTCAGGAACTTCTAAAAAAATTTATATGTAAGATATAAGCAAATTTATGATACAACTAATGAATAGCAGGAAACAGAGAAGTATACTGAGTATCATAATACAGAATTTTTTAAAGTTAAACACAACTAACACAGTTCAGTATCTGTGAGATGTTTGTAGATGCTCCAAAAAAAAAGAGCCCCATGGTCAAGTAAGTGTAGGGGGCACAGAGCTTAATGATTCTTCTATTATTAGCGCTACCATTAACAGTAGCTAACATTTTATTTTTTTAAGATTTTATTTATTTACTTGACAGACAGAGATCACAAGTGGGCAGAGAGGCAGGCAGAGGAGAGAGAAGGGGAAGCAGGCTCCTTGTTGAGCAGAGAGCCCGTTGCGGGGCTCGATCCCAGGACCCCGGGATCATGACCTGAGCCGAAGGCAGAGGCTTTAACCCACTGAGCCACCCAGGTGCCCCAACAGTAGCTAACATTTAGTTGGTCGGTCATAGTGCTGAGCCTTTTCTATGAAACATCTCATTTAACCTCATGACAACCTTATTAGATGTTATTATCTCCATTTTACACACAAACTGAGGCAGAAGACATGATGTAACTTTCCCCAGGTCCCACAGCTGGAGGCAGATGCAGGATACACATAACCACAACCATACTGTTCTCTACTTTCTCCAGGTTTCTGAAATTCACCGTGAATCTCTTAGAGGGGGATGGAATATGTGTCCTTCCTGAATTTGGGGGTTTTTTGGAGCAACATGCAGCATTTTGAGCAATGGAGCAATAATGAAAGCACATTCATTTTCAAAAGAAAACCTAAGTTATTCTTCTTCCTAGGCGTAAGCTCTACTTTAGTCTAAGGTATTTCCTTTATAATCCATTTCGTCCAAGTTAGTAATCCAAGAAATCCTGACCTGAAATTACCTGCTTAGGTCATTATCATAAAACAGACAAGAACTCAGCAAGGACCCCACACAGGTCCATGATATCACTTGGTTTAAATGTTTCGGCTCAGAATTTCTATTGTGTAACCGGGGGGAATATCCAGACTTAAAGGGCGAACATGTGATCAACTATTAAACAATATATACTGCAGTTACACATGATGTCGTATCCCTTGAAATTCAAAACATCCCATCAAGTGGAGCAAATAAGAAAGAAATATTAAACTTCTGCTTTGCATTTATTGGTTTTATTATATTTTATAAGAAAAAAAATTAAATAGGCCCATTAGGCAGTTTTGTTACCAATGAGTGGATTTTCCAATATTTTCTTCATCTAGTTTATGTAGCATAGCCTGTAATGTAATCATTTTGTTTGAAAAAAAATCACAATTTTTATAGTCAACACCATTAAGGTAAACTTAGTGTAGGAGAAAGTCAATCATAACACAGCAAAGAGTTTTATAGAGACTTTAGTAAAGTGGATTTTCATTTCTTGACAATTACACCACTTTTTTTTTTTTTTCCTGGTGCTAAACTAAAAGCCAGGGATATAAGAACAATACAACTGAAGCCCAGGCAGAAATGAAAACCAATGAACATTGACAACTGGTTATGCAATTTGGTTATCTTTATACTCTTTCCTCTTAAGAATCACCTAAGCACTCAAACTGAAGAAATGTCTTCTTTGTATGAGAAATATACTATGTAAAATAAAGCCCTAAAATGATCATGTTACTGCCACTCACCCTCCAAAAACAACCACTGTCAAAAACGTATTAAATCTTACAACATGTAGGGCACTTGGGTGGCTCAGTCAGTTGAGCGTCCGACTCTTGATTTCAGTTCAGGTCATGACATCGAGGTGGTGGGATCAAGCCCCAGGTTGGGCTCAGACCTCAGGGGAGAGTCTGCTTGGGGATTCTCTTGCTTCCTCTCTCTCTGCCCCTCCCCCACTTGGGTGTGAGCCCATATGCTCGCGCTCTCTCTCAAATAAATAAATCTTTTTTTAAAAAATAAAAAGTCAAAAATCTTCCAACATGCATATTGAGCACTAGCAATGGCACATAAATGAAATCAGGATAAATTGGATGTTAACACAGCATTCCAGCAGTTAAAAGAACTTGTGTGTGCTAAGGATGTGTAAAATAATGTGGTCCTAATGAAAGGAGAATCTCTAGCCATGCTTCTTAGCTAAAAAGGTGACCAAGGCAAACAGGGAGATATTGTTTAATGGGCATAGGTTTCAGATTTGCAAGATGAAAAGAGTTCTGAAGATGGATGGTGTTGAAGTTAGCACAACAGTTTGAACGTCCCTAATGCCACTGAACTACAGGCTTAATAAAGTGAAGATACTAAATTTTATGTTATATGTCCCTCACCATAATTAAACAAATAATAAAACATTAAAATGATTTAGAGAGCCTGGGTGGTACAGTTGGTTAAGTGTCTGACTCGGTTTTGGCTCAGGTCATGATTTCAGGGTCATGAGATCAAGCCCTGCATCGGGCTCCATACTCAGCACAGAGTCTGCTTAAGACTCTCTCTCCCTCTCCCTCTACCTGTCACCCCTGCTCGCTCTCTCTAAAATAAATAAACCTTTAAAAAAGCAAACAAGTGAAAACATTAACATGATTTCATGTTGTAATTTTTCCTTGGTAGGTGGGCATGTTATTTCTATCTCTCTGCATCCCCTGCCCCTTTGTTATTAACCCATGTTTTAAAAGAAAAGATTTAAATCTTAACATCTGGGGTATAGTTTCTAATAAAAATCACCTTCTGGAGTTTGGTGGGCTTATGTTCTTCCCTACCCCACTAGAATAAACCAGGACAGTAAATTCACAATAGAACAAACTGAATTTAAAACTACAAACATGCATGAGAGTTAAACATCTGGTTAAACAGAACCCATGAGTAGGTTAGGCATCTACAGAAATGATTTTGGATTCCATTTGAAGTCAATAAAAGGAATCCAAAGAGTTGAAGAGTTGCTAGAAATCCTTCCTGTTTTATTATATTTGGCTATACGCACAAAACATTAGTACAAGCAAGGCTAAGGCTTTGAAAATTGCTCCCTACAGTGAACTCAAAAGAAGCAAATCAGAGCACGCTGGTTCCTTCTTCTTTCCTTTCAAAGGGCACCTGAACCTAAGAACCTTCAGAATAGGGTAAAAATTCAAGTCAGATAGGAGTAAGAAGGAGAAGACTGAGATGAAGAGATGCTTTTTATGCAGTACTGGGGGCCGCTTGAGAAGGAATGCTAGTATGATTTAGGAAAGGACAAGAGTGGCTCAAACCCATCAGAGGCATTAGGCATGAAAACATTTTAAGGGCACAGCCTAAGGATCGTGGAGGCAATATGCTGTTATTTAATTCTCTGAATTATCATAGTGGAAGCACTTAACTTTCAGACCAACTACTGATAGTACGCAGTCATCTATAAGAAAAAATAATTGAAATATATGAACAGGACTAGAGTCAGGAGAACACACTCACATCCTGACTCTACCTGCAGAGAAGACTGAAGCCCTGAGTGGGTGAATGGGTCAGCTGACTGAGAAGCAGCTTCTAACCCTGGGAAACCTAATTCCATACCAAGGCTGCATCTCTGTGTGGAAGAAGTTCTGAGATTTTAGGATGTGACCCTTCATGGTCATGGACAATAGGACAACTTTTATCTATAGTCATGTGGTTAGCAAGCACTTAAAATTCTAAGAACATTAATAACCAATTATAAATTGTTTCACAACTTTGAAGATATGTATTAAAACATCTAAGGTAAAAACATAATCATAATGTGATGCAGAGTTAGTGTATATACGGAAAACAGCTCTCTGGAGGAAAGCTTTATTACTCCCTCAGGGCTTTCTTACAGAGTATGGATTTTTTAATTCCTAGTGGAATATTTTTCATACACCATTGCAGACTATTAAGTACCAGATATTACATTATGTGGTTTAAACTTTGCACTACTGCATGAGAAAAACTTCCCTGTCGAGAGAACTATTTTTTACGGTTAGCATTTTTTAATATGAAAATGAACACTCCTTTAGGGTAAGATCACTGCTACTGGAATTTGGGAGAATTTTATAACTTAACATATTCATCAATGTGTAGAAATTCTCTCAGGGGACTCGGGTGAAGGGAGAAGGAAATACAAGGGGAGGAAGGCTTGTTAATAACTTACAGTGTCAACACAGGGCACAGCGATGGTATTTATAAGGGCTGTTTTCCACTGGGCACAGCTGTAAAAGGGCAGGGGACTAGCACAGGGCGCAAGCAAGTTTAAAAAAAAAACAAAAAAACGGTGTGAAAGAGTGAAGGAAAAAAAATACATTAAACTTCAGGCCAGTTAAAGGTACACTTGCTGATAGTGGACTATTAACTGCTCACCCAGGAGAGATGCAGACGCAGAAATATTAAAAAGGCAATATAAATGCACTTTTCCAAGCAATTCCTGAGAAAATAGATGCCTTGCAGAATTTTTGGAGTCAAAAGTGGAAATAAACTCTAAGTGCTGATGGTCATTTAAAAATCTTTGCCACGGAGAACTTGAGTACTCACATTTGGCTAAAGTGCATAGAAAGTTTAAATGAAATCGACTACTCACTTGTAGACTGTGCCTCCGTTGCCATGGCCAAGAGTGTCTCGATACCGTATGTCTTGTTCATTCATCTCCAGGAGAAAGAAAGAAAAACAAAAAGGGTGTCATGCTGTGGATGGAAATGTCAAGGAAAAGCAACTCTGGGCCATAAACAACAAGCAGTCTGGGTCATTTCAAGTTCAGCTGCAAGAACGAGAAGATCAATACAACATTTGCTGTCCAATTTATAAAAGACGATACCAAGGGACAAAGTGATGGAAAGTTTAATGACAATTTGTTTGCCTGGGTCATTTCATTAAAGTTTGATAAAAGGTGTCAAAATGGAATGATATAACATAGCTCAAAAGGGTCAGGTCAGAGCTACTGATAAGAACACAGTCTCTGGCACTACACATAACCAATGCCAAATAGCTCTGCACATAACCAAAGTCAAACTTG